AGGCTCACAGGGACTCAGGCCTGGAGGGGCAGCACAGGGATGTGGGGAAACTGGGTGGGGAGGGAGGGCAAGGCTCACAGGGACTCAGGCCTGGAGGGCTTGCAGAGGACACTGCAGACAGTCTGTCTTAGCTTCAGTGGGTAGCTTGAGATGCTGTTCTAGAGATGGTTGGTGATTAGATTCCTCTCTGCTGACCTGTGACACAGTTTCAGATGCCTGGGATTGATGAAAACGTGTGACTGATAGAGCATTTCTAATTTAATCTAATTTCTTTTTATTTAGATCAGGGAGTGGTAAAACCGTCTCAAATGTAATTGTAGAGTCGCACAATTCTGACAATGAAGAGGATGATCAATTTGTGGTGGAAGCTGCCCCTCAGCTCTCTGAAATGTCAGAAATTGAAATGGTTAGTTAACCGAAATGTGGTGTTTTTTTAATAACAATGTTTTACCTACATTGAGATTAATATTCTAGCTTTTAGATTTATGTAGACAAAAATGTCCTATAATTTTTCAGTTAGTTTTTTACCTTTGTTAATTTTGTTGTTCCTTTTTTGAGATCCACAGAAGCATGATTTTTAGAATTCAGCAAGCCTGAATCTTCTTTTTTCCCCTTCCTTTCCTGCTCAGGTAACAGCAGTGGAACTAGAAGAAGAGGAGAAGCATGGTGAGTCCTGGGCACGAGTGTGCATGCGTGTCCATGTGTGTGCGCTTACGCACCTTCTCCACGTGTTCCTGGAAAGGATCCAGTGCAAGGGACTGTTGTGTGCCAGGTTCTGGTCTGGGTCACACTGGCGGGGTCACACTGGCGGTACATAGGATGCTGCGGGCATGGATTCCGCTAAGGCGATGGCTGCTGCTCCCAATCCTTAGAGGAGAGGGCGGGCACTGTTGGAAGCTGGAAACTCACTGGCAGCTGTGCTACAGATGACGTCTTGTCTCATCCGTTCGATTAGATTGTGGAAGTAGATGATCTCTGAGGCCCTTCGCAAGTCTAGTTCTGGAATATTATTGTTGGTTTTCTAGCTGGACAACTCAGAAGTGCAAACCCTGCTCCCCACACCAGGGTTTGAGCGTCCTGGAGCACAGTTTCTGCAGAAGAGGCAGGCTGAGTACTTTCCTTTATAGTTGTGTTCTCATAATATGACTTTGTTTCCTGGCACCCATCACAGGTGACATATGAGGGCTTGTTGGTTTTGGGGTTTTTTTTTTGGTATCTATATGAAGCCACAATTTTTTTTTTTTTTTTTGGGGCGGAGTCTCGCTCGTCACCCAGGCTGGAGTTCAGTGGTGCGATCCCAGCTCACTGCAACCTCTGCCTCCTGGGTTCAAGCGATTCTCGTGCCTCAGCCTCACAAGTAGCTGGGACTACAAGCATGCACCACTATGCCTGACCAATTTTTGTATTTTGAGTAGAGACAGGATTTCGCTTCGTTGGCCAGGCTGGTGTCCAACTCCTAACCTCAAGTTATCCACCCGCCTTGGCCTCCCAAAGTGCTGGTATTACAGGCATGGGCCACCGTGCCCGGCCTAGTCACGGATTTTTAACATAGTGGATGTGTTTCATTTCAGCCCATCTCAATTTTTCTTATTAATGTTCAGATTGCCCAGTATTTGACCAGGGGAGCCTATTGGAGTTATTTTCTGGGGGCCTTTAGACACAGCCCAGTACACTCTTTAGCTTCCTTGTTTTCTGATACAACAAGGCGTTTCCGGCTTGTTTTGTGTACTTCGTGCCCTGTAACTGCCTCATTTCTCCAAGGCACCCGGCTGCTTACTGCTCTGGGTTGCTTCTTGTTTCCAGGCATTTTCACTGCAAAAGCAGGGATATACTTTTTTTTTTTTTTTTTTTTT